CAGTGTGAGAACCGGCTGCCCAGAGGGTCCCTGCTCACAGGGGATGTTACTGTGTTCCCCAGCCCTTCCCCAGTGAGGCTCTGTTGTGGTGAGTGAGCTGAAGTCGCTGTTCTGTAGGGTGTATACCATCGTCCCTCTGCAGTAATGTTTATTCAGTGTGTGCTGCACTGGTCTCGGGTGAGTAGCCCCAGAGGATAGAACCCATCGGCCCAGGGCTCCTGAGTACCGTCCATCATCAGCCTTGCTAACAGGATGGCTTGTCAGGGCAGCCAGTGAATAAGAAAGTCAGGTGGTGACTTTACCAGAGGCGGCTCTGGAAAGGATCACCCTAAAATGAGCCTGGAGCTGGCTGCACATCACACTCACGCTGAAGACAGTGGCTCTCACCCCAGGCCTGGCCCTGGGGATGCTGAGTCCTCTTCCCAGCACAGTCAGAATCCAGCCCTGGAGCCCGGGCAGTGGGTGGTGCGTGCTGTAGGCCCTGCCCTGCTCCTCCCAATCCTAACCTGCCTGTCAACAAGCAGCAGTGAAGGGCCTCCCTGGGTCCTGCTGCCAGGCAGAGCCGCTGTGGGGCCCCGGCTGGAGGCTTTGCTCACAGTGTAAACTACAAAGTGCTCTTCTCCTGAGGAAAATCTACTCTCGGCTTTTTGGAAAGGAACTCCACAGTAAATTTCAAACTAAGGGAATATAATCCAGAAACAGTAAACCATTTCACTGGACCTGGGCTCTTAACATTTTCATATGTGCGAAGGACACAGATGCCTTTGGTAGGTAGATCGACGGGTTTCCTCTAGAATGATCTCTCTTCCTCGCTGCCTTGGATTCTGTCCTGAGCCACTGTGAGACGGGCACAGGGAGGGGGACCCCAGAAGGAGACAATGTGGGGGTCTGTCCTCTTTTTTCGAGGGCTGTGGACTTCACAGTAGACTATGTGAATAACAAAGTCCTTTAAAAGTCACACTTTTACAATTACATGTAAATATTACTATTTTATATTTAACAATACCACTAAATAAAAATTGTTCTGAGATATCTGAGTGACTCTACATATTAAAATTATGCAGTTACTATGCAATTTTTATAGGTGTTTTTATATTTTGAAAGTAAGAAGGGAATCTCCTCAATTTTTGCTTATCTTGTTTTTCTCTGCCAAGTTATTGCTAAATTAAATGAATATCAAGGCATGAATATTTGTGACATGCTAAGCACCATGCTGAGGACAGACAGGAAGAACTAAAAAGGAAGGAGGAAATGTACTTCCCGATACTTGGACCCCAAATTGTGACCTGGTCAGCCTCACAAAATAGCAGACACACGCATAGCTTTCTCCTAAGAAAAAATTACTTCATTTCCCCATGGATAAGTTGTAGGAAGAGGGCCATAAAAGATGACCCCCACCGCGGTGAGTCTGAGGCTGCCTTGAGCAAACCGCCTATGAATAAAGTGAGCCTGGGGGTTATGGACAGCTGATGACCACTGGGGTCATTTCCCCATCCTGTCAGCAGGAGCTTCCGGAAATGGGGCCCCAGGGTTAGAGACTCTCCCACCTCACTGTGTCAAAGACCAGGTGGTATATAAGGGAACCCAGAAAGCTCAATCATTTCTTGTAAGCAGACTACAACCCCCTGGGGGGCATGGAGGAGAAATGATAAACGCAAAGTTGACAGAAGGTAAGAGGCACAGCAAACTTAGAGCTTCAGCATCAGGGGCCACCATTCAGTGAGAGGTGTCGGGCCGGGCGCAGAAGGGAAATCAGGTTGTGGTGGTTGTTTTCCCATTCGTGTAACCATCATTACTCTCCTCCATTAAATACTGTATACAACAGTCTCAAGGCTCATTTTATTCATGTCACGCAACTTGGGTGGATGCCTCTTGGACTTCTTGCCTATTGTGAACTTTGTGGGTCCCCTGGATTGTGCTACAAGGAGCATTCTGAGGTTCCAGTGCCTGTCCCTCTTTGCCTTGTGCAGGCTCAAAGTATTTGGACACCAAATCATAAGCTTCTGAGACCTTTGTTTGTTGTGCAGGTCCTGTTAGTCCCCTCCAGGTCAGTTCTCCTGCTTTCTACACGCTGTGGGTCAGTGGCCAGTGCAGGAAGAGACTGGCCTGTCTGGGATGGCACCTGGATGGGCTGACACACAGTCATTTCAGAGGAGCTTTGGAAAACAAGGGGAAATACACATGCAAAAGAAGTTCAATTTCAAACCAAGAAGATGTGGGTCAAGAAGAGGTCTGCCTTGCAGTGAAGCTGTGAAAGCACCGCTCCTTGTGCACTGTTATGGACTTTGATGAATTTAATTCAGGAGAAGGGCTACTGGTAAGAACGGGAATACTTTGGGAATGTACTTCCCAGTACTGCTGGGAATGCCTCTTGCTGGCTTATGTGCTCAACAGATAGAAGGAGTTCAAATACTTGGGGACTGGCAAAAACCTATATTGCCATATATATACAATACACGTGTGTTACATAATTTAAATTTTTTCTTTAAAACTTTGACCTTGTAGCTCAGATTTTGCCTGCCACAGTATATCAGGAACTTGAGTTCAGAGATTGGCAGAGGATTTTGATATGATTCTGTGTCCTGATTATATGCAAACTCCCATAGGCAGGAACTTCGTTCACTCAGTTTAGAATTCCACCGTCTCCTTGTGACCAGCACCTGAGAATGTCTGCTCTTTTTCTTTATTTTCTTTCTTTCTTTCTCTTTTTTTTTTTTTTGAATAAATCATAGCTTATTTTCTTGTGGTGAGAATGTTTAAAACACACTCTTTTTAGCAATTTTGAAATACACGATACATTATTATTAATTATGGTCACCATGCTATGCCATATATCGGTCAATATTATTTCTTCTCACTGAAACTTTGTGCCAAAAAGAAGAATGTTAATTGACTCTGAGGCTGACATGGTAACCAGGCTGTTTTAATAATCACAGACACTCAGTGGAGAGAAAGGAGGAATTTATGGAGCTAAAGACAGGAGAACTTCCTGAGAAAATGTGTCATTTTGTGTGTGTATTTCAACAGGATTCCTTAGTCAAACCAATGACACTTTTATCTATGACTATTTATTTAACGTTCTCCACACTAGGTTGTAACATCATGGGATTGAAGATGATTTTTTTTTTTTTTGAGACAGAATCTCACTATGTCACCCTTGGTGGAGTGCCGTGGCAACATAGCTCACAGCAACCTCCAAGTCTTGGGCTCAAGTGATTCTCTTGCCTCAGCCTCCCAAGTAGCTGGGACTACAGGTGCCCACCACAACTCTATTATGGAGAAAAGAGTATCTCTGCCCAAGACAAATAGCCTGGCTATTTTTTGGTTGTAGATGTTATTGTTGTTTGGCAGGCCCAGGCTGGGTTTGAACCCGCTAGCCCTGGTGTGTGTGACAGGGGACCTAACCACTGAGCTATAGGTGCCCAGCTGTTAACCAAAATGTACCTAAATCCCAGCCAACACCTGAATGAGGTGGAGTTTGACAAACATTTGCTGCATAGCTGTCGCAGAATGCACCTCTGGATCTGTCGGGGTTCTACTCTTGACCACTAGAAATTATGAAAATGTTATTTGATTTTGCTAAATTTATTGAAATAACAAACATAGCAACTGAAATGTATTGAACTCTCCTGTGCTTGTGTGGCATTATTCTTGCTTTACAGGTGAGGAAAAGACAGGTATAGGAGGGAAAGGGCAGGGATCTCCAAGGGCAAGGCCAGAATTTCAACTCCAGGGAGGATAGTCTTAACCTCTACCTTTTCAAAGATCTTTGTATCCAGAGCAGCCATCATTCTCTTACCTTTATTTTTCTTCTTTTGATGAGATTCAATATATATTCTACAGAAAACAATATGCTTATGAACTTTTGGATTATTTTAGAAGAAGTAGAAAATTGAATATGTTCCTTTTCCTCTTAAAAGTACAGCAGGATTTCTGCTTCTGCTCCTGAAGTACTAACTGCTATGGGAATTGCCTTCTGGATTAGTCCTCTCCAATGGTACTACAGAAGCAGGTTAAAACAACACACATTTATTACATCAGAGTGTCTGTGGGGTATTCTGTATTAGGGTTTCACAGAGCTTCAATCAAAATGCTGACCAGAGCAGTGGTCTCAGCTGCAGAATGGGGAGGGATCTTCCAAGCTCATGTGCTATAGGGGGAGGACAGTTTCTCGCAGGCTGCGGGCTTGATTACTCCAATCCCTTGCTGACTTGTGGCCAAAAGCCATTCTCAGCTCCTTATGTGGCTCTCTCCGGCCAGCAGCTCACATCAAGGCAGCCTGTTCTTCAAAGCTATTGTAGGAGAAAAGAGCATCTCTGCCCAAGATGAGCATTGCAGTCTTACATAACACGATCCCGTGCAGCCCATCGCCTTTACTCAATTCTACTGGTTAGAAGGAAGTCCTAGATCCTACCCACTGTCAGGGGGGGAAGATCATACACTGGTGGGTGGGGAGGGGGGAGAACACGGGGATGTGGTGCCATGGGACCACCCTAGAGTCTGTCTGCCATAGTCCCCCACAGTTACCAACTAGAAAATCAGAAAAAGCCCTTTAAAATAGATCTCCTGTCATTGACAACAGATAGGGCAGGCGTGTGACCTCTGGGGAGAGGACTGTCCTTGCTGAAGCTGGAGGAGAGATAGATAAAGAGAAAGAAAAAGGTAGAGAAAGATAAAGAAAATTTGCACAGTCCTCACCCTACTAAAGAAATTGAATTTGTAGGTAAAGATATTCTTAGGGGTACAGGTGAATCTTTCTAAGAGTAGAATGTGAATGTTTTAAAGCAATAACTGAGAAAATGACATGAAGGCTGTGTTGACCAGTTGATGGAAGTATTTCAGATTGCATGTGAAAACCCCACACTGTACCCCAGAAGTGCATTAATGTACATAGTTACCATCAAATAAAAAAAAAAAAAAAAAAAAAAAAAAAAAAAAGATATTCTAACAGAGAACAGAAAACTCTACATCAAGGTGGCTTCCCTAGTGAAATATGCCAAAACTTAAGAAAAAAAATTAATGCCAATTTTATACCAATTTCTCCAGATAAAGTAAGAAGAGGGAAAAACTTGCAATTCATTTTTTTCAAAGGCCAAAATTACAATGACATCAAGAAAAACCAACTTACAAGAAAAGAAGGCTATAGACTAATATTCTTCATGTATATGGATACATAAATAAAAATCTTAATAAAATTTTAGTAAATGGAATCCAACAATACATAGAAAAGATAATACATCTTTTCCAAGTAGATTTTATTGCAGGAATTGAAGATAGATTTAACATTTTAAAAAATCATTGTCACCAAATTTATAAATTAATAGAAAAAACTCACTTGAATATTTCAATATATGCAAGAAAATAATGTGACAAAATTCAGTATGGATTCACTATAAAAGCTTCCAGAAAACAGAATAAAAGTAAATTTCCTAAACTTGATAAGGCATCTACTAGAAACCCACAGTTGACATTATTCTAAATGGTGAAAGATTGGATGCAGCCTAAGGTTAGGAAGAAGTCGGTGATATCTGTCCTAGTCGACATTGTAATGGAAGCCCCAATTTTTTTTTTTATTAAGTCATTTGTACATAGATCATAAATACATTTATGCCATTGTAGGATTCAATGTGTTGATTATTTGCACAAGTTGGCCAAACAAAAAATTATATAGGTTGGAAAGCAAAATGTAAAACTTTATTTATTCATAGATGACATCACCATTGATGTAGAAAATCTGAAGTAATGTACAAAAATTCCTAGAGCTAATAAATATGTTACAAGGCCAATGTACAAAAATCAAAAGCATTTCTCTTTGCTAGCAACCAACAATCAGAAATTGAAATTTAAAATGGCATAAATATATGAAATACTCAACAAAATTCAGCAAAATATGTGTAAAACCTGTACAGTGAAAACTACAAAACATTGCTGAGTCAATTTAAAGAAAAATAAATTAATGAAGAGATATATCATGATCATTAGGGTGACGTGCCTTCTTTTTTTTATTCATTTTATTTTATTTTTTTGAGATTTGCCTTTTTAACCATACTACACTTTCCCCGATTAAACCAACGATTTAATATAATCTTGATAGAAATACTAGTTAACCTTTTTTTCTAAACAAATTGAAAAGCTGATTTTAAAATTTATATAGAAATGTAAAGGACCTAGAAGAGCCAAAACAATTTTGAAAGAAGGAACCAAGTTGGAAGACTTACAATGTCTGGTTTAGAGATAGTGCTTCTGGCAGAGTGGTACAGGCATAAGGGCCAACATATAAACCAGTGGGACAGAATAGAGTCCAGAGCTTGTTTTAATGATGTTCCCTGAGGCTCTGGGATAGGGAAAGTTGCAACCTGGCACATGCACAGTGAGTTGTGGTCCTGGCATCAGTTTCCTGGTGGCAGCTGCAATGTTCTCTGCATAGGCCCAAGGTTGCTCCCAGCTCTGGCAAGGGCCTTCCAGGATTCTTTAGTAAATAAAAAGAGAGCGCTAGTCCTCCAAGCTCTGGACAAATTTACTCTTGGGTGGGGTGTGTGCATGTGTGTGCACGGCCTCACTCATGCACACCAGCCCCTGTCCAAGCCCTACTTTGCAGTCAGGCGAGCAGGTGAGCCCAGTGTGTCTCCTTGCAGAGTGTACAGCACAGACTGTGGAGAGACCGCCTACTCCCTGCACCTGACACTGTCTCCTACGCAAGGCAGGTGCTTGGTAAATATTGGTGGTTTTTATGAGATGTGTATCTGCATATCAGCCCTAGCGAAGGATTTTGGAGGATTTGAAAAGAAGAAAATAGAATTGAAGTGCACCAAACAGTTGGATGCCTACTTAAATAGGTTTTTAAAAGAGAAACCTGACTTAGTCTTTAAATAGAGTCAGTGAAAGGTGCCTTGAGTTGCTTAGTAACCTCTCGCTGTTCTATTAATACAAGTGTGCTGTACAGGAACTTGTGTCTCCTGTTTGTTCCTTTAGGATACAGACAGTTTCCCAGGGATTCTGAGTTTATTCAATGTGAAGAGTTTGACTGATGCAAAGGGTTGCTAAAACTCAACACATAATTATAATATTTTTTCTTAATTTTTGTTTGGAAACAATTTCACATTTATGAAGAAGTCATGAAAAAATAGCATAAAGAAACTTTATACGGAGATTCACCTTTAAAAATATTTTGCTCCATATTCTTTATAATTTTCACATTCTCTGTCTTTCTCGCTTTCCTCTCATAAGCACGTTATTTTTCTGGAACCATTTGATGGCAAGTTACACACATCATGGCCCTCAAAATTACTAAATGTGTGCTCAGAATAGGAATATTCTCTTATATAACCACAGCGTGATGATCAACTAAATAAGCACGCTATTTGCTTTTGTCTGATTTACCGTCCATGGCAAATTTTTTTTTGTTGTTGACCTTAGTCCTTTATGGCAACTTTTCTCAGGCCTGGATCTAGATTAAACTTGCGTATTCTACCCTCAGAAATTCAGATTTAAGAGATTTGGTCCAATGCCCAGGAATCTGCTTTATTGTTTTTTTTTTTCTTTTTTTTTTAGATAATTCCTAAGTGATTATGGTTATTGAAGACTCACAGGTAAGATGTGCTACCTGTGAGGCCAGGGTCATGGGCAGGCATTGTTCTGGTGAAGCTTGACTGTGTCTGGTGGCCAGAGGACAAGGTGAAGGGCACCAGGAAGGCTGTTTCAGGCCAATCAACAAGTTCATTTCCAGTCCCAGAAAATCCCCTCAAATGAGTTGCTGTGGCCAGCTCTGCACTGACACAGTCCCACAGTGGGTGGGTTTGTGGCATTGCCTTTGACAAGCAGTGCCATCATGCCAACTGCACGCGACTGCCCTGAGCCTGAAGGAGGTACCCAGGCAAAATGTCTGGCATAGAGCAGATGCTCAATCCCTGCAGGGTGAGTTGGATTTTTAATACTGGTATTAAAAAGATAAATCCTGTCCTTATTGCCTTTTGAATGGCAGCACACAGAGTTCTTTACTTGCTTGACTTCACTCATGTCAAAGTCTTAGCTATCAACGAAACTGCATACTAATGAAAGGCAGGGTTTAGAAGCAACATATATGTTAACTTAGAAAGGACTTAGAGTGAACTCATGACTACTTGATTCTAAATTTATATGGATATGCAAGGGCCTAGAATAGCCAAAACAATTTTGAAAAGGAAGAACAAAGTTGGAGACTTACAGGACCTGATGTAAAGACTTATTTTATAGCTTCAATAATCATTCAGGGTGATATTGACTTAAGAATAAATATAGAAATCATTCTGAGATTTAATATTCTTAGATTCCAGTCATAGATAAACACCTATCTGATAAATTGATTTATCAGAGTTCAAAGGTAATTCAGTGACAAGAAGATAGTTGTTTTAACTAATGTTGCTGGAATAATTGGGTATTAATTTTTTAAAAATGAACTTGATCTTGATCTTTGACTTGAATATAAAATCTACAACTATCAAATGAGTGGATATTTAAAGTTCACTTGTTAACAGGTACCATGGGCTCCCTTTTGCCCACCTTCCTCCCTCTCATGGCACCCCAGAGAACTGGAACAGAGCTATGCTCCTGAATTGATTCCTGTCTTAGTTTGTTAGTCCTATTTAAACAAAATACGAGAGTGTATTTTATAGTTTACAAAAAAGAAAAATTTCTCACAGTTCTGGAGGCTGGCAAGACCAAGATCAAGGCACTGGCAGTTGTGTCTGAGGAGGCCCTGGGCTCTGCTTCCAAGATGGCACCTTGTTGATGGAACACTGTATCCTCCTGTGGCAGAAGAGAGGAAAGGGACCAGGCTGGCTCCCTGTGACTCTCTCCTAAGGCTGCTAATCCTATTCTTGAGGGCTCTGCCCTCCTTCCTTAATCATCTCTTAGAGGCCTCACCTCTTAAGATTGTCACATGGAGTTTGGGTTTCAACACATGCATTTTGGAGGGCACACAAACATTCAAACCATAATAGTTCCTAACTTTCCCTGAAGACTTAGAAGGTAAATAAACAGGAGAAAAAGAAGGATCCTTGACATCTGTAATCTTGGGCACTAAGAGGACAGATGGCCTAGAAGCACATTAGTGTGTATGGGCTCTACATGTGACCTTGGCCCTGCTAGTGTTGTCATTGATATTGTTTCACTTTTTAATGCAGAAAATATAATGCTTTCATCAATAATCAGCATTAAAAATTTAAATATATTAAAAAAAGAAAAAATGAAATATATTTGTGATTTCTAAGGTTCTGTACTAATTTAACATAATATAATTTGCTAAAAATGACTATTTCCCATTTTTGAGAGTACTTTGTTTTATCTTTTCTTTTTCAGCATATTCAATTTCTAAGTTAAAGCTTATTGTCTACTCTCTGTTCTCTCTCTATGTGGATATTTTGTAATCATATTCCACCTTTGAAAGGCAATGTTGAAATAACTTAGAAGACCTGGAAAAATAAGCTTGGACCTACTCTGATGTAAATAATTGGTGATTTATTCAAATCTGCACAGGGGGCCATTGTCCTAAGACAAGCGGCCCCAAAGTGCAGGTTTTTTTGTCTTTTATATCTTTTTCTGTGTACAAGGAATGTTGCCGTTGGCCAGGCACCATCGGCAGGGTTACAGTTTGGGTTTACAGTTTAGGTATCAATGATTACAGCTGAGAAGCATGTTCTCTGCCATCCTGGGGGCGGGGGCATGGGAACGGGTTGGGTTACATTTCCCACTCCTCTTCTTGGGAAATTAAATCTTTACTTTATCTGAAGAAAGGGGTCCTACTTAATTTTTATTGTTCTCTGTGACATTCTCCCCCTCCTCTTAGAGTCCAAAGTCCAATTAAGGTAAGTTTCTTGAGGAGTTTCTTCAGGCTTCAGCCATGCATTGACCAGCCAGCTCTTAGTATGTGGCTGGAGCAGGGCATGCTGACTATCTTAAAAGCCAGGGGAGTGAAGTTTTATTTAGTCAGCTGTGATGACTTCAGGTGAGGATTCTTTTCATTTTCACATTGCTGTGCATGTGGTTAAGATGATGGTGTAAACAAAACATGGTTAATTATTTCAGTGAAGATTTTTTTTTTGTTACTTTTCAGTTCTTTTAGGCATTTCTGCTAAATTGTAGAGAACTGACAGATTTTTTTTGAATAATACCAGTGGTAAGGCTTGTATTTAATTAAGCTTTGCTTTTTGGCAGAGTTTACCAATTTCTGTTCTTATGGCTTTATGCACATTGTTCTGTAATACTTTTGGTCAGTCTCTTAGTTCCATTTAATAGATCAATTTAGTAAAATAGTTATGTCTCATTTTATGAATTGATAGTACAGACAAGGCTGGGATTTAATACAGGTGGGTCACAGCCTCTTTTTTTTTTTAATTTCTTTCTCCAATTTCTTTTTATTAGAGACAAATTATAGTAGAACTAACTTAGTTGTTAGAATAAACTGTATTTTCAGTATACTGATTATTTGCATAAAGCATAATAGAATAATTAATTATTAGTCATTTAGGCTTTCTTTAAAATTGGCTTTGTTGGGATTCTTTGTATGGGATTTCAGTTGGATTTGAAGTCATTCATAAGCTCAGGTTTCATCTGTGCCATTAGATATCTGTATGCATTGGGTAAATTCCTCTTCTTTTGAGGTTCCTAAGCATATTTTGACTTCAGAACTGTCAGGAAGTGACTTTCGTTACTTACTACAGATTAGGAATGTTACTGATGGGTATCTGGTTAGTTTTTCAGAGGGCTTTTTATTGGCTTTCTAAAGTTAACTTTAACTCCTAAATGCAGTCTGGACATCTCTGGAAATGTTATTTTCAGTTAAAGCCTTGGTAAAATAATCAGTGTCTTTATTATGCTTTATAGAACAAAACAGATTTTTATTGAACTTATGCAAATAACTGTATTGTTAGAAATTAAGAATACTTACAAATGGCTTGTAAATTCTGGAGAAATTAAGGAGAGAGAAAAAAATTTATGTTTTAAACTTTGCTTATAAGTATATACATTGTTTGAAAAGTTACAAATAGTTCAAAAGACAGAAAATATTTTTTGCCTTCTGGAAAAATAGAACACAGACAGAATTAACAATATTTTAAACAAAATTATAATAAATCTTAGTTCTATGTAACTGATTTTTGTTTTATTTGGAGTTAGGTTAGCAATACTTATACACATGTTAACTTTCCAATGAAATTTCAAAAATTTGCTTTTCTAAAAACATTAGGAATTTGAATTTAAGAGAATTTGTTAGCCTTTATTAATATTTCCCTTTTTTAGGATGAATTTTGAACTTAGTTGGTTACATAAAAAACACTTTTTTTGGGATGAGTTAAAATTACTGACAGTATATGTTAGAATAGACTAATGTCTTATACGTTAAGACAGACCAATGCTTTATAATATTGGAATATATATATAACTATAATTTATGCAAAATTAATTACCAGTTTATATTTGACAATGTTTCCTATATATTTTTAATAAATCAAATAAGTCTAATTTGTTTTTTTCAGGTTTAAAATCTGTCAGTTTTAGTTTATGTCGCCAGCGCCACAATCACTGTGCTATGGGCATTAAGCCCTAAATTTAGAGTTTTGGTTTTAGAAGGTTTGTCAAATATCAAAGGCTTAAAATATTTGTTTAAACAAAATTACAAGTTAAATACATAATTAACTGAATTACATGTAAATTTTTTCACAAAATCTTTTTATGAGCTTTATTTAATCTATACAGATAATCTATAAACATTTTAAATCTTTTTTAACTTTTGTGTTGTCTTTTACCCTTTTAAATAATTATTTTGTTTTAGGATAAATTTATCACACGTATTCTTCCCTTATACAATGCTATTTTTTTTTCTGTCTAATTTCTCTTACTCCCTAAAATTCACTTCTCACAAAATAGGATTACAGTTAACCATTTATTTGCTAAACTGATAATTAGAAAGTTTTAAAAGGCAAGAATTTTTGTCTGATAAAGATTCAGTTTTTTTTTTTTTTTAGGCAACCAAATTAAATTATTACATTTTACAAATGAGAGACATTTGTGAAATATAACACTGATACAGGATTTTTTAGATCAGAGTTAGATAAGAAATCTTTATTTTTCAGGCTTAGGTAAGCTCAGAAATCAGATTTTTATTTTTAGGCACAAACACATTGCAGGTCATACCTTTTGAGCTCTAGTAAGCTTATGAGTAAAGCAGTTTTAAATATTTTGGAAGGCTTCACTCTAAATAGGGAGTACACACCCAATTTTTCCCAGATAAAAATGGCAAAGACCTAATAACTCTGCCTAAGGTGTGGGGCTGTGTTTATTCATTTGTTAGAATACTTATTCAGTTTGTAAAGGTATGTTTTCATTTACGAATGAGGCAATTTATTAATTCAGTATTATTTGTTTTAATGCTTTTTGTCTGCATAAGTGAGAACAAAGGCTTAATAAGAAATGTGATTGGATGACAAAATACATGTACTAACAAATTATCAGGGCAGGAATTTTGGATTTACCAGGGGCTAATACTATTACAAAAATCTACCCAATTACTTTCCCTTGACTGATGGCAACTAAGAGTACTACAATTAGGCAAATGTTAATTATGAAAATTCTGAAAGGAAAGATAATCTGAGTAACCACATTTGGTAGTGGGAGAATGGAGGGGACAAGTTGCAGGTAAATATGGCAGTTTCAGAAGGAGTGAAGTCTTGAAGGTTCCCTTGAAATAAAAGATCTGCAATCTATTCACAAATGTTTTCAAGACTGTTTGTTTCAGGCTGAGGCTAGTCTTCTAATAAACACTGAGCAAATGTTACAAAATGACAACAGTTTATGTTTACTCTTACACTCTTGTACTTTTAGGATCAGAACCAGAACCCATTAACAGTTACATTTTTCACAATAATTTATAACAAATAAGCATAACAAAAATACTATTAATAGTTAATTAATGTTTGCACATACCAGTTAAAAATAGATGTTAAAGTGTCTGACCTCTGTAGGACACTGGCCCCATATGCCGGAGATGGCAGGTTCAAACCCAGCCCTGGCCAAAAAAAGAGTTAAACAGAATAATGTTAATTCAGAAGGGAAATGGCTGTTGTTTTAAGAAATAAGGAGGGCTCTCTCTCTCTTGTTTTTTTAGTTCCAAATGAGTAATTGACCTTGTGTCTTCTGCTGATAGTTGGCACCTGATCTCAATACTATTTGTAACATAGCAACCACAGGTTTTTTTTTGTTTGTTTTGTTTTTTTGGCAGGCATAAGAGGAACAGTTTTAATAAACTTTGTATTAACTTTGTAATTGTCAGAAAGAGAGGATCTTTAACGCAAGTGGGTTATTTGTAAACTCACGAATTGAATGTGTACTAGGAAGTACATAATATATAGAAACAAAAGTGATGCCCAGTTTTAAGGATAGTGAACAGTTTACAGGAAGAAGAAGAGGAGGGAAAACACAGCGACTTTCCCTGGATTGACATCTAAGAGCGTTTCCTAAAGGGACTTTGAAGGGACACTGAATAAAGCACTGGAATTGATAAATTAAATACAATTTTGACTAATAGGTGTTACACAATTTACTAATATATAAAGGGATGAATGCGGGGAACAAAAACCTACCAAAGACTCCTTTTACTCCTTTTTAGATAAAGACTGCAGCAAGGGTTAATTTGGTTGCAGCTTGCTCTCTATGATAGTTCTCTCAGATTTTGGTGAAGTTCACCGGACTGCCTACACTGCAACTTTTTTCTTGGCACAGCCTCTACCTTTTACCCACCCCCTCCTGCAGGATTTGTGGCTTATAGACTCAAGTTAATATTTGCCAAGTAGGTGTCTGCTTCTCAAAGTTGAAAATTTGGAATTTTTCATTTCTCTTTATTAAGTTGGTTAGTTTTACTTACAGAAAATATGCACTTTCTTACTATTGTTCTTGGTGAATTTGGCTGAAATTAAAAAGTTACTGAAAGAGCATTTTCAAAAATTACCCTGTCTTATTTTGAACAGATTACTTAGTGGATGAAAAGACTACAATACAAACATTATAAAGAACAGATAGACCAATAAAGTAAAATGATAAGTGGACAGGACAGAAAACACAAACAGAATTTAACAGGCAGAAATTAGTCAGACAAGAAGTCACATTTAACTCTTTCACTCACTCACTTATACAAAACTTAAAACATACAAAAGACACACAAATCAGAACCAGCACAGCTGACTGCAAGAACTAAGATAACTCAATAAAAGACTGCAATTACCAGGACAGGACTAGTCTGCAAATCTGAACAGTCCAAGAGACTGCTAATATTGAAACAGTCTAATAAGGAGCTGTAATTATGACAATACAAAACAAACAACTCAAACCTATACCAGAGAGACGGGAGGATGTCTCCCACTGCCCCAGGAACAGCTGTCTCAGGCCACGTCCAGCCTAGCCTATTATTCCCCCAGATTCTCTAGAGATTCAAACAGACTTACTTAAGGCGCCACGATCAAATCACCAAAAACGGAAAATTTGGAAATCTGTGCTCCGAGTTTTTTTTATGCAGCTGAGCACTCTGGGGTAGAGGGACATCTTCTCCGAGGCCTTCCCCTGGAGCTGTCGGCCAGTAATGGGTCCAGGCGGGGGTCCAAAGGTGAGGATCTCACTGGGGCTGCCAGATGAAATAACTTAGGAGACCAGGAAAAATAAACTCAGACCCACTCTGATGTAAATAATTGGTGATTTATTTGCACCTGTGCAGGGGTCCTTGTCCTAAGACAAGTGGCCCCAAAGTGCAGGGTTTTTTTGGTCTTTTATACCTTTTTCTGTGTACAAGGAACGTTGCCGTTGGCAGGGTGCCATCAGCAGGCAGGGTTACAGTTTGGGTTTACAGTTTAGGTATCAATGGTTACAGCTTGGGTGGCAGTGGTTATGGTAGCAATGGTTATAATTCAGATAGCAATAGTTACAGTTTGGGTAACAATGGTTACAGTTTAGGTTCTTGTTCTGAAGTCTATTCCTGGCAACCCTAAGGGAAGGAGGGGGCCTGGGAATGGGCTGAGAAGCATGTTCTCTGCCATCCTGTGGGGGGGGCATGGGAATGGGCTGGGTTACAACAATGTCATCCAGGCACGGTGGCTCACTCCTGTAATCCTAGCACTCAGGGGAGGCTGAGGTGGGTGGATTGCTTGAGCTCAGGGGGTTGAGACAAGCCTGGGCAAGAGCAAGACCCTGTGTCTATTAAAAACAGAAAAAGTAGCCAGGCATTTTCTGGCCTATAGTCCCAGCTACTTAGGAGGCTAAGGCAAGAGGATCACTTGAGCCCAAGAATTTGAGATTGCTGTGAGCTATGATGATGCCACAGCACTCTACCCAGGGGAATAGAGAGAGATTCTGTCTCTAAAAATAAAGGGGCAGGGGCATCTCATTTTTTGCCGTTGATCTAGGAAACAGTGACCACATTAACAGAGGTTGTATTTTGATGTGGCTTTATTTTTCAGCAAATAGGATCTCAATGGTCAATGGCATTATCATGCGTGTGGAATCTTATTTGACATTACATTATTTGCTGACCCTACAATGGTGATTAACATTGTTTATCACTAGATTAATTTTACTATCACCACCACTTATAATTGTCTATTTATTTTGTTCAAGGAAACAGTGGACAACAATCCTTACAAGAAGGGTTGTAAGGGGCTGAGTCTTCTCTGCTTGTGGTTGGGGAGGAGCATCTGGTAGTGTCAGTGAGTAGAGGGATGGAGATGAATCTCAGTGGGAGAGAATCCAGCCTTGTCCAGCTCAGTAAGCTCTTACTGAGCAACTGCCCTGTGTGTGTGGCCCACACTACACACTGGGTACACTCTTTTAGTAACTTATAATTCATTGAGAGAAGAGTCAGCTCTAGATGAAAATTTACACTGGTTTTGCTATGAAGAGAGCAAAGCGAGCATTTCTTCTGCAGCTCCCCTGCTTCCCAATTTGTTCCACGTGTACAGGCAGCTTGAGTGGCAACCAGCTGGCCTCTCTGGGGTCCTTCAGTCATTTCACCCAGGAGACAAGGAGTGATTTAGCTAAAGGTATTGGGAGGAGAAACTTGCCATGTGGCTCTCAGTTGCTTCTTTTCCAGTTCACTGGAGTAAGCAGCCTGCTGTGAAGTTTGCTCTCATTGGAAGAGTCCAGCTCACGACAGTCATGACCGGCTGGGTTAGCCAAGGTCTGGAGTTCAGGACTGGAAAGCTGACTTGTGTGCATTCTCAGCAACAGCTGCATTCGTAACAAAAATGACGTTCAATCTTTTTCTCAATGGGTTCAGGATCAGGTAGGGATAAGGAGTGTCCTTAAGGGTCTTCAAAAATACCTACAATAAGTATACATGCAATGAGAGAACCGCAATGAAATCCCTGATCTAACCTGGGATTCAGGGAAGGTTATTTAAAGAAAATGACCCTGGAGTTGAACATTCAAGGATGGAAAGAGGTCCACCAGCTGGAGAGGGTTTAGAGACTTCATTTTCCATTGAGTGGTCTTGGCACCCTTGGTGAAAATCGATTTACCATAGATGTATTGTTTTATTTCTGGGCTATCAATTGTATTCCATTGCTCTATATAGTACTGCATTCACTAGTACTACAGTGTTTTCATTACTGTAGATTTGGAGTATGTTTTAAAAATGGGAAATGCAAATGTCTTTGTGGTAAAATGATTTTTGTTCTTCTCCATAGATACCTAGTAATGCAATTGTGAGATTAAAAGAAAGGTCAACTTTAAGTTCTTTAAGAATTCTCTATATTTCTTTCCATAAAGGTTGTATTAGTTTGCAACCCCACCAGCAGCATAGAAGTGTTCCCTTCTCTCCACGTCCGTGTCAGCATCTATAGATTTGGGAGTTTGTGATGTGGGCTAATCTCTTGGGAATTAGGTGATATCTCAGGGTGGTTTTGATTTGCCTTCCCTAAGGATTAAAAATGAGCATTATTTTCATGTTTGTTTGGCCATTTGTCTGTCATCTTCAGAGAAGTTTTTGTTCAAGTCTCTTGCCCACTTATAAATGGAGTTGTTTGCTCTTTTTTTATTTTGTTTCATTATGGAGACAGAGTCTCTCTTTGTTGCCCTCAGTAAAGTGACACATGATGTCATAGCTCACAGCAACCTCAAACTTCTTGGGTTCAAGCGATTCTCTTCCCTTAGCCTCCCTAGTAGCTGGGACTACAGGCACCTGCCCAATGCCTGGCTTTTTTTTTTTTTTTTAGTAGGCCTAAGCCGGGTTTGAACCCACCAGCCTTGGTGCATGTGGCTGGCACTCTAACCACCTTCTTATTGATTAATTTGAGTTCTCTGTAGAGTCTAGTTATCAGCCCTTTGTCAGAATTGTAACATGCAAAAATCTCCCATTCCGAAGGCTGTGTATTTGCTTGACTTGTGGTACTCTTAGCTGTTTAGGAGCTTTTTAGTTTGATTAGATCCCATTTGTTTATTTTTGGTGTTGCTGCAATTGTCGGGGGGGGGGGTCTTCTTCATAAAATATTTTTTTCCCCAGTCAATATTGTCAAGCATTTCCCCTACACTCTCTTCAAGAGTTTTATTGCTTTGTGTCTTAAATTTAAATATTTGATCCAGTGAGAATCAATTTTTGTCAAGAGGCATTAAAACCTTTTAATCTTCCAGGAGAGTACAATAAGCACCCAGCACTGGGATGACAGACGACTACAGGTGCTCACGCCAACATTTCCAGGGCCCTCCCAAACACACTGTTGAGTGCTCTTCTCCCACTGGTCCTGCAAACCCTTTGCAGTATGATGCAGACTGTCTTTCTTGGCCTTGAAAGTCTGGCTTCCAAGATGCTGCTTGACCCAGGCCTTTCTACCAGTTCTGTTGGGTCCTTTAGATTTTTAGGCCACCAAATCTTTGGCCCTGATCTTTCTCAAGATTCTGCACCAGTGTCACTACCACTCTGATTGCAGCAGGTCCAGCTCAACCTCCATCAACTTGGTTCTCCTTCAGATGCTCCTCTGGCTTCTCCGGCAGTTAGCAGCATAACATTCTCTGTCATTAGGTGGCACAGCCTTTTGGCTCACTGCCAACATTTCTTCAACTTGTCTAGTCATATATAGCCTATTTTAGAAAATCTTGTACCTCCTCTGGGTGCTGTGCAAAGTAGGGCTATTAACTAGATAAATAGGCCTTAATCCATGCCTAGAAGGAATTCCTAGTCTAGCAACAGATCTGTCATGTCCATAGCCTTTTAATTCTACTCTAACTGCTATTCTTGCAAACTGGGTCTCAGGGCCGCTCAGTTGGTTAATTGCAGAGGTGTTCCAATTGAGTTTATCCAACCAATTCCAGGTATAGGGGTCTGGCCAGGGTCTGCAAGAAGGAGAGGTGGCTAGTCCAGGGATTAAGGATAGGCTTTATTTTAAAGAAGTCAGCCCCCTTCACACAGTTTCAAGGGACTTTTAATAGTGTAATTGGAATGTGGGAGGGAGTCATGAGAGGTGAGGGAGGTCATCTTTCTTGCAGAGTGAATGAGGCTGTGTCTAAGACAGATTTTAGAATTACTGCCTTCCACAAAAGATGTTAATCTTTGCATGAAGGCTTTAGCTCTAGTGCCAGCCAAGACCAGGGTAGGAGATTCTGATGCCTCCTAGAAACACCTGCCTTGAAACATTTCCAGAGAGTGGGGAGGAGGATGCTGTAACCACACCATTTGGTGTCTGACCTGCTTGCTGTCACTAGCTGTCCTCCAGGATGGCCAAACTCTTGTCAGGGTCAACAGAATTTACAGGAGTACGGGAAGGGAGTTGCTGTAATCATGCAATTTGGTTTCTGGTCTGCTTTCTTTCCCTACCTGTCTCCCAGATAGCTATGCTTTGTCAGGGTCCTGAGGATTTCTTCCCCACACTTTTTCAAAATCTAGGACTATCCATGCTCTCTTTGCAAGCCAGCTTACCAGCTAGATGACATTTAGTGTTGTTCCCTAGACACACCCCACTTTCACCCTTCACTGGCTCTGCTGAAATGTCCTTTGACCTCATTTTCTCTGAACTTACCAATCAGCCAAAGCCAAGCTGTGTAGTTAGCCCCACCTTCCTGCCCCTCCCCCACCGGAGTGTTCCCTCCCCTTCTTTTAACGGGATGTTAAGGACCTGTGTTAAGGACCCATGTTAAGGACCTGTGCCACTCCAGTCCCTCATTGCTCTTGGCCTTGTATGAGCTGGTGCTGTGCACTGTTTCCTCTTGCCTCTTTCTTGGCTGTGGGATCTGACCGTGAGGTCGTGTCTTCCTTGAAGCCTGCCAAGGGTCTTGCGTTAAGCAGGTGCACTGGCATTCAGTGTCCAGCAAGTGTGTTTTCCTCGTTCTGGAGGCTAGAAACACAAAACTACTCTTTGCAGACTCCCTGCTATGTTAACCACGGCTTTTATTTTTTTTCTGGTGCTTTGATGTCTGAAAGCCTAACCTCCCCTGTGGAGGCAGCCTCTCCCAGACCTTGCCAGTTCCCAGAGACAGCAAACAATTTGCCTACAATCATGCTTTCATGCTTTACAAACAAACCAACAAATCCAGGGCCCAAGACTCAAATGCTTT